AAACTAAAGCATGCACGAGAAAAGTATGAACGATTCAATATATTACGTGGAAGACGTGTACACGTTGCATCGATGTTGGATAACATTACGTGATACATTATTGCCACGTAGAATGGATAATAGTACATTATATTGTAATATGTTTGAATTTACATTAAATAACAAATTTGGTTTTTCAAATAATATTATGTTATTTATAACCGTATTCATTTCAATGAATTATTTGGACATTACCGGAAAGGTTTCGATTTGTTTAGTGACAATAGCTATTTAAATAATACAAATATAAAAATCCCTTGGAAGTAAATATTGATAAACGTGCAGTTAGTGCATGCGTAACTTGGTAGCAGTTTGTGTACACTTTTGGTTATCGGTACGCTTCACAGAAACAATTTCGATTACGTATCGTATTGTTATCAAAAAATAAAATCACATTGTACCGTAATCATAAAACCCACATACATACAAAATACAAGAGTCAGTGATGGCTTCGTTTTTTAATTAGATTTAAACAGACGTAATCGACGTGGATCGATGTCGTGATGTTATTATTATCGTTATTATAACGATATCATATTAATATCTGTTGTAAACTGCTAGTCGTCTTGGTTTGTAGACCATTGTTTGATTACATATATCCGATCAAATCTTTCGTCTAACGTAGTGCCGTTACTATTGATAGTCACATCACCATTAAGCCCACAGCACTTGTATAACATGTAATACCTATCAGATTGAAATCGTGGAGGGCGAGGACCGGAAATATGTCATTATTATTGTTGTTTCGCTATACGTGCAAATGCAGCATACGACATATTTTATGCGTTGGTCACTTCAACTTAGAAACGATTTCAAGGCATAATGCGTTTTTATTTCTGATTCGTCGTTTTACGATACGTATTTATAATGAAATCGCTCGACTCAAAATATCTGTGGGAAACGCAGATTTAAGTAAAGCAAGGCCGTAACCAAGAGGAAGGAGAGGATAGATTGCCCTATATCAACATTTAAACATAAACAATTTAAGAATTTTCTTTGCAAATGTGTAAATGAAATGTGTTCGAAAACAAATGTGTTTTATACAATTATTTGTACATAGAATTTAAAATGAAACCAAATGTATCTTAGTTTTAGGCGTGCATATATTTTCCTTCAATGTCCATTTCCTCCTCCTCCTCAAAAAAATATTTATTCACGATATTTTAACCCAATTTTTGGTTATAACTATATTTTGTATATTTATTGGTAAACTATGAATAATAATTTTGTTTAAAAACAGTGTTATGGAAGAGTAAATTATTTTTCCCGAGTCAACTAATTATACAACATCTACACTTGTGATATAGAAATATCTTGAACATTTTAAAATAAGGAGAAGGGCAACGAAGATGCTGAAAGTAAATATAGCTCGAAATCGGTCAACATTGTTCATCGTCGAGTTGAAAAATTCCTGAATACATGCCTGTTTACAGATAAATTTGGTATTATCATAGTTACATTTTATAGGTGTAACACTACAATTTACATCGTGTACATTTGTTTTAAGAATCAATTGATAAATAATACTTTTATTTAGATTTATCAGAACATTCTCACATGATGTGTTTAAGTTTTGCTCGCATCTTATGTTCAAATGACGGATGATGATCATTAATATTATACACATATAGGTTTGATTCGTGATTTATAGCAACGATGGTTACGCACTTGTTTCTGTTAAATATATTAATATCTCCACGATAATTTTAAACAAAACCGTTATCAATTTATGTTATTAATATTCTCACACTTTTGCTTTGTTACGGTTAACAGACTAAATTGAAAAAAAGCAACGACAGAAAAACGTACTTAATAAGATATTGTGAAAATATTAAGTGCTCTAAAAATTTTAAATTTAAATGAGATGCACTTTGAAAGAAATAGACATAATACAACATTGTGGGCAGTTAAAATGGATATCACTGTAATGGATTGAAATAATGTTGGAGCAAGTAAAAATAATAACTTCTTTTGTTATAAAAAAGTTTGGAGTAATTGTCTAATAAAAATCTATTTATCCGAGTATAATTTACATGTATATACGTTTCTACTCTTCAAATTAAATACAGAAAACACTGTAAAAACTCAACAGTAATGGCTTTTTGTAATATGAATCTTGAATTCGGAAACAATAATATATTATAACTTTAACAAGTATTTACGAGTAAAATTTAAAATCAAGTACATGACAGTTTTAACAAAACGACATAATTATCAAATTAAAAAGGTCAACTATTCATTAAGTATATTTCAGTGCCTTAAACATGAAATTACTAATTATTTTATCAAAAGCAATGAGAATGCTTGCTTTCTAACATTAAATATTACTTTACCTATATATGTGTAAAATTACTGAGAAAACAAATAACAATCAATCAATCAAATAAAATTCTTAAACATTCTTAAAATTAATAAAATCCTCTGACTTTGCTTACATTATGAAGTAGTCTAACTATTATTTATGTATATTGGCTTAAACGTATCAAATTGTACTCACTTCATGATTTGTATTAGTTTAAAAGCAATCAAAATTATATTATTTTACAACCCAAACAGATCCAGTTATTTTTTTTATTAAGTTATAACGACGGAAAATAAATATAATACTAGTTGTCATAATCTTAAAATGTACAAAATAATACCAATTGTTATATGTAACCAACTTACGGACACAAACTTATTTTAGTCATTCATATAACTTTACAATTGTTCAGCATAAGTTTCCTCGTCGATCACATTGGTGAAACGATTTTTTGATCACGAGATAATATATACGATATACGATATTTATTTTTCCGATACTCAATACGGAATATTACGATAGTAATATAATATGATTTGTTATAATTGTGTATGGCGTATCAACCTATAAAAACTCGTATGCATTTCAGAAGATTAACAATCAACGATGAGTAGTAAAAACTATAGCAAAATGTTCACGCATAAAATATGGTTGCAAAACGAAACTAAATGCATTTGATATTGTATTTCAATCATTCATTTTCAATATTTAACATACATTAGCGTCACGAGTAACGTATATATGATAAACACTAAGAAAACTCTGATGGAACACTTTACGTTAAAATCGAAATACGTCAAATGTCATCATATTACAGATGATTGACTGATTAAAGCTAAGTTCCTAACAATTTCTGACACAATTCAATACTCAACAAGGAATTGCATAAAAACATGATTCGAAAAAGAAAATTAACAAAATCAACTCAATCAATGTCAAAAACAGTTGCTTTATTTTCATCAAAGTAACTGTTTGTTCGTATACCATTATTTAATTTTCAATGCAATTAGTATTCTGTAATAGTATTTTTATTTTTGGACTTTACAATTTAATATTATACTAGTAGTGTAATGACGACGTCGTATTCGATTATCCGTTTTTGATCAGTATGTTATAATTAAGTTATTACTCACAAATGAACAGTAAATGCGTGTCATAAAGTTAAAAACAACTTCGAGCATATTTTAAGTAATTTTCACTGATTGAAACTGCAATAAAATTGTCTACCAGAGGATCATAGATGGAAAATCAACTCCTGTCTCAGTAAGTTTTATTTAGATTTATTTACTAAACTCTACTGAAAAATATCTCGATATTACCGATTTTCAACATACAATTTTGAAAAAATAAATATTGTTCACGAATTAGGGACGAACACATGAATGCAGTTTTATGAATATCAACACCCAATATGAAAGCAAATATAAACGAATTTACAGAAAAATTCAACCTCAAAAACCATACTAAAAACTAAATGTTTATACGATCGTATCCTTTTGCATTACAGAATTTATTAAAAAAACTTATAATTTTTTAATTTTCTCTATTAATGTCTTTCGTTCAAAATAAGTTAATAAGGTCAATCTCTGAATGTGAATTTTATAATATGGTGGTTACTATCTATAAATATATTAGCTTTAAATATTAAAATTGTATTTTAATAATGTTTGTTAAATAAATAATAATATGTAATTTAAGTTATATATTTTAATATATACTTCAAATGATTAATAATTTTATAATAAGTAATATAGTAGAGTAAAGGAAAGGATTGTAAATTGAACATTTTAAATGACGTACTCACCAACGCACGGAAGTTATAACACAAAATTTTTCGAATAAGACTGAAATGTTAGAAAAAATAAACTAATAATTATTTATTTCATAACATTTACATAGACTTCGGTCGTTATGTCAATATGTTAGTCAGTGGCATAATCACACATACCTAGATAATATTCAATTATCATTAAAGGGTACTAATGTCACGTACTTTTTATGTTAAAATATTTTCTGCAACAGTTATGGATTACAGTTTAAAATTATGACAAGACGACAGTTGAATTTTTTGTAAAACGAAATCAAGAAACAGTCAATATATGTCAGTAGTATTGCAAAATAATCATATTAATATTAATATAAATGGAAAAACCAAAAACTAAATTTACTCTCGCCAAAAGTAATTTGCTCGTCATTTGTCACCGTCGTTATTCATCGATATCATCTGGGAAACATCTACTGAGACGAATTATTCCCAGAAGTATTTATTGTCATGGATTATATATAGTGTCTCTTTCCGTATTAAAGTCACATGCACCCGTTAAGACTACACTTTAACGGGACCTGGTGGGAGGCTCAATGTAGAACAAACCTCCGTATTTTTGCTCTCTCTCTCTCTCTTACCATCCCTTTCCGTACACGCCCGCTTTTTATCTTCCTCCACTTGTCTTCTTGTATAAACGAAAAAGATTTTCGTCCCAACCATACCCTCAATCACTCCCCAGCTCTCGACCCTTGAGTGTACATGACGAACAAATGGCTGCCAGATTTAAGCTCGTGTCTACTTGCTGTAAATCAATGTTACATTGTCCCCGTTTATCCCTTATAATTATTATTGTTATTTTTAGTTTTTTTCGCTCATACATTACGGTCGTTTCAGGTTTTTTAAATCTCAACTCCAACCAGCATCTCAAGTCACCGTCCAATTACGGACTTATGGACCAAATAGCGGCCCTGCACTGGATACAGGAGAACATAGCGGTGTTCGGTGGTGATCCTAGCAACGTGACGTTGATGGGCCACGGGACCGGAGCTGCTTGTGTTGGTTTCCTGATGGCATCGTCCGCAGTACCCGATGGTAAGTGTATTCCAACGGTATAACCTTATATCATACATTGATTGAAAGTTTTCAGAGACATTTTAGACCAGCGAAGACGAATACATTTTAATGGTTAACAGATATTAAGATAAAACACACACACACACACATAGACGCGCGTGCGCACACATATGGAAATGTAGTTCAGTATGTTATTATACCTACACGTTTTTCTGTCCTTATAATATCTTATGTTTGATTATGAAACATCCATACGTATTCGTTTTAAATAAAATTATAATATTATGTTACCATATTTAATAGTTTGATTTTACATCACTCCGTCACCAAATCAACTGTTTAACGCGTAGAATTGAATTTATATTTAAACCACGTACTCCAGACAATGACCGCAGGGACTAGACTTTTCATATACCCAAATAGCGTATAAAATAAAAAAAATATTCAATTTATTAGTGCGTGGAATAGAAAGATATATTATTTATGCGTACAAACTATAAACGCCTTTGTTGTTTAAAGGAATCGTGCCAAATCTCTTGACTTTATTTCAACTAAAGTTTGTTTTGTGTGGAATTGTTTTTGTCTTCTATATACGTACTCTGACTCACTACAATTATACAATATATTATAATATATTTGACTACGAAACATTTAAAAATTATAACGGTGTGTTTTGCTAGAAATATTTATATTCAATAGTCATTCTTATTAAATTACAAATAAATGAGAAAAAGTTATGTTAAAAATATACGTAATCTTGAGTTATAATATTAGAATAACTGTAATAGCGTCGTAGTAACCTATAAATTGTTATTCTTTAAAATAAGTTTTCAATTGCTTGGTTAATTTTTCAACGATGGATTAATATCGACAATTATCGTGTAAAAATGTCAATGACCATTTACGTCAAAAATATTAAATACCAGAAAGACGTTTCAATTAAAATGTTTTTACGTTTGTTTTATAAATTATTATTAATATTACAATTATTTATTTATTTATTAAATTAATTTATGTTTGTACACGTTTAAAGAGCACCAAATTCTAAAAAACGATTGTGAATAAAAAGTAATAGAATATTGTATTGGTGTTGATTACCTTAAATGAAAAAAAACGGAAATAATCACTTATGTGTTATTTTAGGTATTAAAACAATTAACAATAAAAAAATTAAATCTGGAAATGTTTACAAAGTAGATGAAATCTCTTAAAATACTAATTTTACCGTTTATGTAAAAAAGTTACGGGAGCATTAATTCTCATCAAGTTAATTTTGATTCTGTTCCATACATCCGAAAGATAATTTAATCTCCTGACTCAAAACTGGAAAAACTATAGAAATCCTACAAAAGCGATTAAAGGATTAATTTCGAGTGGTTTCCTTAATTCTTTGCCCATTTTGAAATCAGTGATGTATGATCTTCTCTAGAACGTAAAGTCGGTTTTGCCGTGCTAACCTCACGCAAACATAACATACCGAGGGAACAGTTAAAAAGCGCAACCATTGGATTGCGTTCAGCATACCAATACGCTGACCGACATAATTAATTTTTTTTTTTTTTTGATCAGTGGTGGGCGCGGGGCGGCTTTTATCGGGTCGTTTATAACCCTCAGCTTACCGTGCACCACAGACTTTGGAGAAATAAACTCCTATAAAGACATAAAGGTCTTAGCCTTTCCCAGGCCAAGACGGTGTATTATGAATTCGTAAGTAGAGCCCGTAGAAGGGTCGATCCAGTCCGACCAACCGTAAAATTCCTACCGAGATTTACTGTCGGTGGCCGCTGTGGCATGTGCTATATTTTTCCTTATTGTTCTCCCCCCCTTTTCTTCAAATTCTCAAGGTTTCTTTTTTTTTTTTTCACTTCATTGTTTTTGCTCGCCTTATGCATCAAAACGTTTTCAACGCTACGAATCTAGACCGTTTAGTAGTCGTTTTTTTTTTCATTTTCTTTTTATTTAATTGCGCGTTTGGTTGCGCTGTTTACTTTTGAATTTTCCACATTAGTGTATCGAGAAAACTTTACGATGGCGCCACAAGATGTATTTGAGCTCGCAGATGTATGGTTTAACGTCACGCACTACGATGTCTCGTACGTTTCGACCTACTTCGTCTAATTGACTATTGGGAAGGATGAAATGTTTAAATTATCGAAATTAACAGTCCCCTTCCGATAAAAGCAACCATTCAATATGATATAGTTTCATACTCAGTCAATGCAAAACTATTCTTAAATGATATGCTGGAGAGTCGAAAATATTTTTATTCTATACTACACTATTGATTTTGCTTACACCTCCATAATGCAGACGAGCATCGGGCAACGATAAGCTCTTTGAAACGATTCTTATCAAAATGCACGGACGTTTATTTCAACATACTTACATAATGAACGTACATTCCTTTTTTAACCGATTAAATCATCAAAAATAATAACTACGAATGTGAAGGGACAAATAAGTATCCTAATGTAGTTGTAAGCTACATAATAATAGGAAGACATTTATTATTATTTCACTGAACTAATTCAATCAAACTTATTATTCTTATTTTACAACAAACTGCAAACAATATTTTATCGGACAATTGATAAATGCACATATATGAAAATGTAAATATGTATCACTTAATTGGCTATATGCTCAGTTACTGCGGTCTTGTGCACTCTCGAAAAATAATATTACTATTTATAAATATTTTATCTTGTTCTTTACAATATTTACACTAAAAGCAAGTTTACCATACAATACAACGTAATACTCTTATAGGATCAAAAACAATATAATGTTATACTTGTGCGCAGTATAATAGTTAACATTATCAAATACAATGTACGCGATATATTATTAAAGTTTTGTGATATATCTCAGAACACGTATTTCAGAATAAAAGAATAGTACTTATGTACTACGCGTTACCGTCAACTATCGCAAAAGATTATTTCATGAATAGTTATTTTTGTTTGCAAAACAGTACAATAGTTAACCGTAATTCATTTTTACTAACGTATTACTTTTGATGATTTTCAATCCAGTTGTTTCAAAAACGACTCATCCACGCTACACAATATTCATGTGTCTGGAAAGTAGGTCACTTTGTTATTATAATTTGTAATATTCATAACCATTAATATGATATGGAAAATATCATAAATCATGTTAAGGAAATATTTACGATAAAATGTGTTGTACCGATAAAATAAATAAAATTAAAAAGAAAAATTAAATAAAAAGTAATGATAAATTATTAACTCATCAACATATTACATGTAATATACATAGTAATTTGACAAAATATAAAACATAGATTTTATTTTTGTTCGGTTATTAATATATTTTAAACCACATGATAAAAAATGTTATGTAATGCAAATGAATCACTTAGGTTTAGGAACATCGATTGTTCAATATTTTTGGTATTTTTTTATAAATCAAAACATTGAATGATAAGAGTTCTTTGTGATTTATTTAGCAACAAAATGTATAGATTTTTCCAAATAGATTGTTGGTTATTAAACATTTACAGTCAAAATATAATTTACTATTAATTCACTTATTTGCATACCAACGTTTATATATATATTATTATTTTACGTTTTCTGCATTTTAAAAACAAAATAAAAAACTTCTATTACGTTTGTTGTTGAAAATAAAGTTTTTTTATTAAACTCGTCTGAACGTATTGTAGCATTAAACTTCGTAAACTATCAACAATAGTCCAATAACGTTTGACGCACTAAGAAACAATAAACAAAAGGACCGAATATTAAATATTATTATAATATTATTACATGTACATGCGGCTCATACCAAATATTATGGGCAAGTAGTGTTGGAATAGTCCATTGATGTTTCATTGGAACGATAAAAAACAATAGTCCGGCAATAACGGACTAGGGTAATACAATTCTAATATTTCGGGCTCTCGAAGTACCCCTGGAAACGTCAATAAATTGAAAACGGTACCTTGTTACGTCCTTTAGTATTACAACCTTTATTGCATTAGCACATGAGAGACGATTTGTGTCCTGCAAAGACCGTTGACGACATATATATAAAATAATCATCGCAATATATTTCGGAGAATATTTAAGAACAAATTATTTGCCCCCTATCTCTTCACATTATTTCACCGAATCGCATTTCTAAACTTTATTTCATTACAATTGATGGTCTTCTGAAAAATGTTGCTAAATAGAAATAATAACTTAAAAAAAAGGTTTTAAATATATGAAATATATGCAAATAACTGTATATGATAATATGTATGATAATAACTTGAAATGTTTGTATAAACGTATACAATTCTCTTAATAATATTTTAAGTCTGTTGATAATGAATAATATTTATAATATATCAATAGTATAGGTACATTATGATGCGGATCTGTTTTGAAAATCATTAAATTTTCGTTTTTAATACTATTATGAGCAAGTACTTAAAAAATAAAAATAGTTTAAAATTAATTGTTAAATAAATAATATATAAAAATAATTAATTTGTAAAATGATATCGTTTTTTTAATGAAAACATTTATAAATATATAAAATGTATGATCTTCTAGAAAAGTTTTGTTTTGTCAAGAGTTTTATAATGGTAGATGTAATTTTTACAAATAGAAGTTCAAATATATTATTACTATTATATGGTTGTAATTATTATATTGGGGGAGGGTGAAATCATGCAGGAAAATAAAATATAAACATTAATTAAAAATTATCGTATTTTGGTAATAAATATTATTTTTTTTATACATTTAAAATGCTACAGCATGACGGATACATCGGCAATTAATATCGTTGCAAAAATAGATATTAACTGTGTACATTATACGTCATCGTAATATAATTTATTAATGTACAAGAAAAGTATTAATACTACAGTAATTTCCTATGATGACAGAATACTATTAAAAGGTAATTTTATTACCTACTCTAGTTATATATTGTGTTATAAAATAACTTTTACGTTATACATTTACTAATAACAGTTTTCATAGAAGGAAACTGTTTTTAAC